CCTATACGTTAAGAATTTGTCACCTTTCAAAAGAGAGATATTATACGTTTCACATAAAGTGAATGTATGAATGGACCAGCTGGGCTGAGTCAGATGAGCCATCCTGAGACAACAAATGCACCTTTGTTTCCTGAAATACTATCCACAAACCCAACTTCTGGTTAAAGGCAAAAGGTTAAAGATGCTGTAAAATCTGCACTCAGACTTTAAAAGCCTTGGAAGAAAATTAACTGTAGTTAGAGAGAAAATATACTAGGTAATAGTTTACCAAACAAGAAGATAAGTAACTTTCACAGCCTTCTAATAGCTGACTAGATTGAAAACAGAGGAAGTCAGTTTATTCCTCATATACAAGCACTTCATAAGCAGTCCTCATGATGCCTTGCATAGGACCCTTGATATACAACCATCCTTTGCCACTCCATGTACTGTTCCTAACATTTCAGACCTTTTATATTGATACATGAGCATGAGAAAGATTAATGACCTGAAAGAGCAATGCGTAAATGATTGAGATGAGAGAGGAAACAGTGCAAATATCCGCTTCCTATTATGCCTTCTCTTTTCCTTTAAATTCTGTCACTATTGATTAGGTAGAGTTCAGAAAACTGTAGTAGTATAGGAAGAATAAAATGGCAGTGAAAATTGTGGGCTTGTCACAACTGTGCAGTGTTTATTAACAGAAGGAAGTTGTTAGTTCTTTCTCACTTTTAACTTGGAAACAAAAAATCTCAATGTCTTTCTTCTGAAGCAGGAATTGGAGTTGGACAATGCAGCTGGAGAAGGGAAAGGAAAAAGCTGAAAAGAGCCTCTTCCTGCAGCAGTAAGCTCTCAGATGGCTCAGTCAGTCCTGCCCTGAAACTTCACTCCTAGGCAAGTCAAAATTGATGGCAAAACCATGGCCTTAAAAGAGCAATGCATCGCTGTGCTTCAGTCTCATCCCACAAATGCCATAGCTCAATTCAGACTATGCCACCCTGAGCAGCAGATTGCTTTGCACCACTCAGATTTCTGCACGCTAAGGCTACAGTCTCCTAATGTCTGACACCAGACACGTTCACACTACAGATCAGATACCCAGCTTCCATCAAAGTCAGAACCCATGCAACTGTTCAGGCAGCAGGAGGGAAAGGTAGACTAATAGAAACAGACCTACACTATAAAGCCTTTGTACAGGTCTCCTTTTGTTGTTTATGAAGTTGTGACCACATATGAGGAGACCACTTTGTACCATATGGCCATGACATTCTTCCTCCAGTACTAAGCAGCCCCAAACTATATTTAGCATCCTCTATAACCACAGTGTTGGCTGTAGGTAAGACTCCAATACTGTGCCCTTCATTGAGAAAGACTTTCAAAACCCCCATTCAATGCACTTGGCTTGACCTGTCTCCAGAATTCTCTCCCCCTTCACAATGCTGTACTGCACAGTGGCCTCACCAAGAGGCACTAATGGCACAGGAGGAGAGGTGGCTCATGAACCAGGACAGCCTGACACAGCCCTGCCTTCACCAGACTGGTCTTTCTTCCTGGTCTTGTACTGCCTCCTACTGACGCTGCTTTTTGTACAGTAAAGCTGTAAGAGGATCCAGCTGAAAAAAATGGGGAAAAGAAGAATATTTTCAGTGTATCTTAGCTAACTGGTCCCCTAACCGATTTGACTACACAGTGCAGAGGTGCCCCAGGGCAGGAATGAGTTACCAGAAATGCCCAGGAACTGAACCATCAGTGCTGCCAGTTATTTTAGGCATCTGAAATAATTCACTTCAAAAATCAAGTCCTACACACTAGGTCAAAAAGGGCAGACCTTATCATCTTCCTAAGAAACTGCCAACAATCTGCAGGACATTCAGCAATTTGCTAATGCAATTTTTATATGCAATGAATACACACACATCTTATGCACATAAACATTTAAATAAAATGACAGAATTTAATTCTTTCAGTGCTGGCTTTTCTGCATGTAGTTCAAAAGTACCTGCATTACTTCCTCTGCCTTCTGTACGTAGGTCCGGGAAGTACAGTTACCACAGAACCCTACAGGTAGGTGGCAGAAAGTTGCAACTAAGCAGTTTCATAACAACACAGAATTAAAAAAAAAACAAAACAACCACCACAACTTTGACAGTGCCATTTAAGTTATATACTTTTAGATTTTCATCAGTTTATTTAATCAACAACAACGTTTTCTCCCTCAATCCCAACCTAAAGAACATTTTTTATGTAAAGACAAATGAATTATGATATTATTAGAATGCTGTTCAGAAGCAGATCAGTTACTTCTTTGAAAATCCCTCTGTGGACTTTTAAAATATGTATTTCAGTCAAAACCAATTATGCTTAAATGCATTTCTATTGGAAGGAAACATGGATTTTTCCATCAACTCAAACAGAAACATGTTTTAGATTCAGCAGTATGAATCAAATACTCAAAGGCAACTAAATAATTTGGTATTTCCATTCAAAAAATAGAGTTGGTCAAAACAAATTCCAAATACAAAATTACAGTATCCACATATAATAAATACTCAAATCCCAGAAAGTAGAATTTCCCTGCTGTATCCATTCACAGCCTCTGGTTACATCCATGCTGCATGTTTAGCCAGGTTCCTGCTGTCTGTCTACAAGCAAGCTTTTAGCCTGGATTACAGATCCCACCCAAACAGCTCTCAAAAATACTTCCCGGCCCACAGAGAGCTCTGCCTCACCCGAGTGAGGCATGACATTGTACACAATACACTGGTACTAGACTAAGAGTTCTATTCCAGTAAAGACTGCGTTTATTCCTTCCTTATCCTCCATTTCACCTCAAAAATCAAACAGGATGTCTTAAAATATCGGTAGTTTAAGTGAACATGTTTGACTTCATCCCGGACACCATGAAGGAAATACCTCACACAGCCAGTATTGGTACAGGAAGGAAGCAACTTCTAAATAAAACATCAGTGCAGAGTCTGCCGTCTTTCACTTAAGATTCAAATTCCTAATCTGGTCACAAAAGCAGCTGACTAATAAATCTATACAACAAAGCTCAGGGTTAGGTCATCAAAGCACAAATAAGCAAGACTATTCAGTTGTGGAGGTAATTTTCTGTCATAGAGGAAGCAGTGAAACAGCTCTGGAGAGGACAGCGTAAGGTCAGTGCAGCAGCGGCAGGCCTGATGAAGATGAGGCAGATGATGGCTGTGCACCTAAAGAATAAACTGACTCTGAAGCTGTACATCTAAATAGGGAAACTTGGCCAGTTTAATCATCTCCACTCAGGAAAAGCAGCCTGCTTTCCCATCAGGAGCTGCTTGAAAGTCATCTGATTTACAAACACGTCAAAAATAGCACTGTGCTTACTTTATAGAAAAAAACCAATTGTTTTCTCACATTTAAGCTCAAGAAGCTCCCCTCCTCAATTCCCCAAAGCATGTACTAAGCAAAGTAAAGCCCACATCATCACAACAGTAAATAAATACAATCTGACTGTTCATTCCATTCCATTCCTGGTTAAACACATTCATAAACCGTTTCCTTCACATGAATCAATTTTAAAGTAGTCCTAATCTACATAGTAACATTTAGATAAGTTTGATACCAACATCTAGATCCATTTATCTAGTAAGACCAAAAAAAATCATAGCAGCAGCTGTTTTTATCAACTTAATGGAGATATTTTTAAAATATTTTTAAAATATTTTACAAAGTTATTAATTGCATATAATTTGGTAATATGTGACCTATATATCTTACCAAGACATCAACTGTTAATTAATGTGAAAATAGAAGACACATTGGTTTTTCCTTTAACGGCGTTGTAGTTTTTTTATGCACCTTTCCCCTAACAATACTAATAAACACACAGTATTTTTCCAGAAAAACTTAGTTTTCTATCACACTGAGCTCATCTTACCAGACTTCAGCATACTACAACACAGTGTAATTAAAAGACTAGATCTTCTTTCCTATGCCCAAGTTATCACAATGGATACAAATCACAATTTGTGGGTAGTTGCAGAACATGGATCTCATCTTGCATGAAGCTGGACAAAAGTTATGCCATGTACCCATACCCGGTACTTGAAAAGGCAACATACTGCAGCATTGGTACTGTAACTATTTCCATCCTTGAAATGAGAGACATTTTAAAAACACAAGCTTTCAGGGCTACTAACCCTTGCATCTGCCATCACATGTCATTGACAAGTAATATGCACCCAAAAGTAGCTAATCACATAAATGGCATCTGTTACACAATCATGCAGGATTTTATCCTATGCACACATTGTAAGGCAGGATAGGTAAGTACCATTTTAAAAGGAATAAAAGGCTACTGAAAATACAGATGGAAAGCAAAATTCTCATTTACTTTACTAAAACGTGGAAAAGATCTTAAAACGGTTTTATTTCCATTCTGTGCATTTGTGTTCTCTCATTTTAATAATAAAATGAGTTGTGCTTTCACTTATTTAGTTCCTGCAATATTTCTGCTGCAGACAGCAATGAAATATTTTGTTGTTCTCTTTGTGAACTTACATCAGACACTTTCTCATCTTACTTGCAGAATTTTCATGAGTCCCTGGTGTTGTTTCAGCATAAAAATTTTGGAGTTACACATGAAAATATATTTTTGTTAATTATCAGATGTTACAAGCAACACAAGTCAGTGCAACAAATTTTACACAAAGATTTAAAGGATACTGTGTGTCTACAGATTCCTTTGGTTGTATTTACTAAAAGACAAGTTACACTGACAAAGACCACAGTACAAAAACACTTGGTTTAATTACTTTTAGGTACTTTACTGTTTTTGGTGCTTATAGTATAAAAGATGAAGCCCTCACCCTGCCAAGAAAACAGATAACCACACACAATTAGTCTATTCAAAGGCACTCAGCTTACTTTTTAAGTTTGGCAGACACCAAGCTGTAATTTCTTTCATCATTTGCTGGTCAAATAGTCTCTTCAAAAAATCATTCAATACAATAAATTATACGCAGTGACCAAGGACAAAATTTCATGAACTTATGTGGAAAATTTATTTTGTTAAATAAAATATTCATGATCTTTACAAAACTGATTTTACCAGACGAGGCCTTTGGCCAATTTTGTTTTTTTTTTCCCTTTAACACGCTGAGCCTTAAGCTTCTTTTTCTGCCTGGAATTCATCCATATTGGGTACTGTCCATGCTGGTCTAGAAGAGTTTTTTTGTTTCGTTTATTATCCACCTCCATTTTGCCATCATCTGAAAATTAAAGGTATTTTTAGTGAGTAAAATATCTGAATCCACTTCATAGAAGCTATTTTGTCACTAGATTCCCCCAAATGACACAAATATCCCTAGACACAACAGTATTTACATCATGGGTTTATAAATGGAAAGCACTTTCCAAACCAATGTAACTGCAACCCAGGAACTTCAACAGCTGATAGTAGATGTGCAATATTTTTCCTAAAGGCCATGTCTGGGCAAAGCGTCTTATTCTTTCATCTGCAATCTGTTCTAATCCTGTGTCTAAGAACATTGTATATTCCATCACGGAAACATGCATGAAACCATAGGCTTACTGAAAGATATGGACAATTACACACTTTTTAGGATGTAATGTTTGAGATCTCCTCTAAAAATTTATTCTGAGTGGAAGATGAATAGAAGCAAAAAGAATAGTAAGGAGAAAAGGTGAAATACCATGACAGCAGTATGGTATCAGCCAGTATCAGCCAGTGATGCCACACTTGCCTCAAGGAGTGAGCATGACATCAGGTCTAACACATTTACAGGCACCAAGAGAGGATCAATCTCTATGATGAGGAAGACTGCCCATGACACAGGCACTCCCAAGCACGGCGTCCCCAGCTGCCCAACACCCCATGAATGTCATGTCTTGGTGAGATAAGAAAGAGCAAGAGGAACACCTTGCTAAGTAGTGACTGCAACTCTGCTCTGTAATTTCCTTCCAACCTTGTTTCCAAACCATATGTGTGCAACTGAAGCCTTTACCACAAGTTTTATGGAGAGGAAAAAAGACTTTTATGTAGTGCTTGTCTGATGTTGGGAGACAAAGCTCACGAGGAAAAGGCCAACATGCTGCTTCAACAGTTGAGGTTGACAGTCTACAGGAATCTGCACCAGAGATGTGCTTATAGAACCCTAAATTGGGGGGTTTGCAAATACTTGCAATCAGCAGAGAATCAGCATGGGGCCTGGCAGCAGAACCAAAAGCCTATCCAGCATGGCAGACCTTATATTATTTTTTTCTTAAGAAGAAAAACTGAAAAAAAATTATTAGTGTGCTGTAAACAATACCCTAAAATAATAGAGTAAGATGTCTGTAAGATATACCTATATACTTTCTTGGCTGGAAAATTATTTATCTGTCTGCAGGAAGTACATATTATGGGTGAAATTTTATCTACTTCAGTTCTCGTAACACTTGGCAATGTGAGCTCCTTTGTGTTCACACTTAGTCCTGAAAAGCCCTCCCAAAGAAAACACCATTATTTTCACAAACTGGTAGCTGTTTTGTGAAATACATATTTTCTTAGGTATTTCTGAGGCTGCTATCTCTGCAAAAGCCAAGTGAAATCGGCCACCTGTCGAGAAGTTGCCAGCAGAGTTGGAAGGAGGTGCAAAAATTACAGACAGCCATGCTATCAGAAACTAGGTTTAAGGCAGTGATTTCTCCTTCAACTTCAGCATCAGAAGTCTGACAATGTTCTAAAACATTCTGGAAATTCAATTCTAATCAACCCTTAAAGAATAACTTTTATACCTGATTTGTAGGATACATCCAAGCCATGGATAAAATTACAGATTATACTTGAAGCTAACCTTAATTGGACAAGTATTTTTTTATATACCATTCTATTTCCATTCCAGTAGCAGAACATTTTAAGTGGCACAAATTAGAGACTCAAAATAAGACCATGATCTACTCTGGATGTCAGTTTTGGAAAAAGGAGGTGTCCTTCTGACTCCCATCCAGTATGCAGCTGTTTAAAACCTTTGTTTCCCCTTCCTGGGTTACTTCCTCTGCAGTTTACATTCGATTCCAGACACAAGGAGGAAGATGGCATTATTTGTAGACATCTAATACCATCCACTCCTGCACCGTGTACAATGCAACGCTAATTAGTATTCAGAAACTGGGCTCGTACTACTTCTACCTCAATTTTTTAGCAGCTCCTCAGATCAGGACAGTTTGGCAGCAAACATAACGCTGTGATTGGAACAACTGCTAAGTGGTGAGTCGGCATTCACCTGATGCTCTCAGAGATGTCTCTCCATACAATACATCACACACGTACTAAAACCTAATGTTGACAACCTTGCTCCGCAAGTGACCGGATGCAATATGGATGCCAGTGTTGCGAAATGACCAGGCTCAGCTTTTAGCTTTAAAACACAGGCTTTCCTGTTCTCCTCCTGTAACAGCCACAGCGCTGATCCCGGCGCTGAGTGTCGCAGGACCTCCCGCACCTGGGCCACCGCAGCAGCAAAAACCAGCCGGAGCCCCGCTCACCTCTCTGCTCCAGCACTTTCTCGGGGGGCAGCACGGTCGCCACCTCCTTGACCTCCTCCATGATGACATCCGCTTTGGTTCCCAGGATCTTCTTCAGCCTCTCCAGCTCCTTCGGCGCGTTCTTCTTCCTCTTCTCCGCCCGCATCTTCCTCCTCCATTTGCTCCTCAGGCTCTTCGCCATGTCCTGCGGGGAGGGAAGCGGCAGCGGCTGAGGGGGGGCCGCGCGCACACGGGGGGACGCGCGCACACGGGGGGTCCCCGCCCCGCTCACCTGCTCCGCGCGAGGCCGCCACACGCACACTCGCGCTAGGCCACGCGTCCCGCCGCGCAGGCGCAGACGGAGGGGCCGGCCCCCGCGGGGAAGGCGGGCCGTACCGTAGGTGTGGGAGCGGGCGCGCAGGCGCCGCCGCCCCGCGGCCCGGCCAGGGGAGCGAGAGCGGACAGAATTGTGCTCCGTCACAGCGTAACAAGCAAGGATTTCTTCTTAGCTCCCGCCCCGCTGTTCTGAGTGAAATCCTAAGGCAAAGGGGAATTACCACACTCGCTCAAACCATTGCGGTGGTAGCTGGACAGCCTCAGGGAAAGCGCACCCGGTGCCGGCGCGGGGCAGGCAGGACGCGCGCCTTTCCCCAGCACTGCATTCCTCGTCTCCCAGCTCTCACTGGCAGGCCTGGCGAGCGGAAACAATCCCGTACTGAACAGGAAGGAAGCCTTTCCAAACCGTTCCTACGCTCCCTGCCCCTCCAGCATCCCCACAGCCTGGGAAGCAGCCGCAGGCACACACCTCTACCCTGCCGGCACCGACCCTTCTCAGCATCACCGAGTCCTCCAGCCTCAGTCGCAAGAACAGACTAAAGGCTTTCCAATTTTTACTGACACACAGTGAGTTTTACTATACATAAGTTGGTAAAATGCCATAATCAATCTCTGAATGATTTTTCAGAACACTGAAAGATAGGCAATAAATAGTACTAAAATAAAGAATATTCCCTTTAATTGTTTTAACACCCTCACAGCTTTCATAGTGACAGCCCTTAACTAGGACAGAGTACTTCTGTCAGAGACAGCATTTCAATTTTCCAAACAACAATTTAAAAAAAATTATCTTAGTGAAACATTGCACAATGGTAAAGTCATGCTACCCTTACATGGTACATAAACGAATGATCAATCCCAAAGGAAATATTTTCAGCAGCTACAGAAGAGCAGGGAAGCTTACTCTGAAGTAAACAGGAACTGGCAAAATTTCAATCATTAATTACACTGCAAATTACGTGATTAAAAAAGTGACTGACATGATGAGAGCATGTTAACTACATAATACACATGGTTGGGAGAAGAATTGTAGCTATGTAAAAAGCCATTTTTCCCCCTAAGGAGGGACCAATATTCATGGAATGCAAACATAATAAAGATTCAGTCTTTAGAAGGCAAAACTACTGAGTTTACAGATCATCCATAAACTTCACTTTAATTGTGCTGCAGTCAAACCACTCTGCTTTTGACTATTTTTTATTACATTCCTCCAGAAAATGCAGCAGGTGAAAGAACAGATTTATGATGTCCAAGTAGAGATTGATTGCAGCCAGTATGTACTCTTCAGGGGATAACTGGTGCATCAGCAAATGAGTATCATAAATAATAAATCCACAGAACAGAAGAGCTCCAGCAGCAGCAAGCACCAACTCGATTGTCTCACTATAGGAAAACAGCTGGAGGCAGATAAAATATGAAAAAGATACTTGTGAATTTCATTTTTTAAAAATATTGAAATCCCTACATAATGCTATGCCACATTTTAAACACAGCCTTTTAGTGTTCTGTACACAAAACCACAGTATTTTGGTGATATTTCAATGCTCTTACTCCATGCACTCTCCAGTCACACGATCTTTGACTGAGTAAAAGTACCTCCACTTAAGAGGGAGGAAGCTCTGGTCTCCAGAGTATTAACAGCAGAACCAGAAAACCAAAATAGAATTAAATCTCAAATCTCCTTCACATTCTCTTTATCAAGTAGTGGATCTCAATAGACAAATTTTGTTAGTCAATCCAAATACCCCTTTTATGTTGGCAAGAACAGCACCTAACAAAAATCTAAACTGAAAATGTGTGGTTAAATGATCACCAGCATGATCTAGAACAGTAATGGATCTGGTTAACAATTTTCTTTTATTAAGCTATACTGGGCTGATCCAAACCTTTTTGTTACACTCGAAGTCATTAAAAGTGACTGATCTTAGTGGAAGGTGTCCCTGCTCATGGCAGGGCGGCTGGAACTAGATGATCTTTAAGGTCCCTCCCAACCCACACCATTCTGTCATTCTGTGAATATCTTTTAACTGTGAACATGAAGTATCTTACCCTCAGGAAACCCGAGATCATTAAAATCCACAAACAAGTGAAGAGGCTGAAAGAAAATAAATTACACTGTAACCAATAATGTACTTTCTTTTAGACTTAAAACACCCTCCTTTCTTCTAAAACCTCTTCACAATATATTTGGCAAGTAAATGTCTGGAATTCTTAGATGCCAACTGTTCACTGGTCTCAGCAGTAGAAGTTTTGTAAAGCTGTCAAAAGTTATGTTCTAACTTCATTTTTTTTAAAGATTTGAAACATCTGCCTTCTCTCCCAGTGAAAAATCCATGTAAACTAGTTTTCTAATTGTTTTAAGATTCTTTATCACTGAAAAGAATTTACCAAGGATCAGAACTGGGTAAAATGAATAATTTTAAATAAATAACCCTCACCATTCCCTGGAAGCAGGTTCTATTGACCTGCATTCCTTACTATACCTGCAAAGTTTCATTTAAGAAAGAAAAAAACTCAAAGCCTTAACAACAACAACAATTTAAAAAAAAATCATTAATATGACAACATACCCTGCTCCAAATTTGCTGAAGTCTCTCTTTGATTGGAAGGTATATGCAGTCAATCCAAGAAATACAGCAGCAGTAAGAATAAAAGCTTTCAAGACGACGGAGACATCACAGAAACTCACTATAAACAGAAAAAGTAATCTGTCAATTAAAGAACTCTTCTACACTATGTGTTTGTTGATTTATCTTTTGAGGAAACAGAAATTTAAACTTAACTGTGAACAAAATTAAGTAAATTATGACTGAACTTGTCTTTGCATTTCAAATTCATGATTCATAGGACTCAGGGATCATGTACTGGCTAAGTTTGACAATTACTTTATAGCTGTAGCTTCTTAAATGAAAATAACAGGACTTCCCTAGTCAGAATTATGAACACAGCAACAAAACAAAACAAAAAGATTTTAAGCACAGATAACTGAGATCTTAAGGAAAAAAAAACTGTATGAGTTTTTCATTATACTGAAACAAGGGGGAAATAAAACAATCCCCTATAAAGGTTCAAAGTTTTGATTAGGGACAGGAGGGAAAGATAGCCGAAACATGTGCAACCTTCTTCTTCCCTCCTTCCTCCTTTATCTTTCCTTTCCCCAGCTCAGGAGATCATAACCCACAATGAAGAGGTTTCATCCTATGCTGTAAGGTACAGTTCAAGGTGATTGCATGATGTGACCACACACTGCCTCATTTCAACCCTGACCATGAAGCATAGAATTCTCCAAACTTAGATTCCATTGAGGAAATTGAGGGGGCAGGTAGGACTATTTCAACTTGAAGATCAGCTCTGCTGAGAGCTGAACATTATGAAAGAGAACATTTTCAATTATACTGAAAGAATGGATTCCCCAACTAATTTCTCACTTCAAGTTTATACAGTTCCATTTCTGAATCAGAATTCAGTTTTCTCTCTTGATTTCCTGGTTTTGCTGAACTCCTATCACTGTCATTAAAATTTTCAAACAGGATTCATTTTAGTCACATCTAAAAAGCCCTAATGGCAATTAGTACAATATAATGGATTCATTTGCCAAATTCTTTATGGAATCAGACAATAGGATGGCTATTATTTACCTGTAATGGCAAGTGTCAGTGCTTCCAGTAATGTCTACAAAAAGCAAACCCAAAAAAATAGAAGGGTAAGAAAAAAATCAAACCATTAAACATTAGATCTCCTGTTAAATCTTGTGTGGAAGTTGTGTTACATAAAAAAAGTACAATACAAAGCGAAAATAAGTGAGAGACTATCCCTACAGAAAAACATCACTTACATTTTCTACTGTAAGTGCCCAGCATTTATGACTCTTCTTACAAACTATTCAAGGGGCTATAAAATGAATACATTTGTAATGTCTTGTTGGACAGCTGTCTAACACGGTGTCTGCATCAGTTTCCTTACCACATTTATCCTTTAAATAATCTGTTTTACACAGCAAAGTTGTCTTTCTGTTTTATCACAAATACAATTTATGCAACTCTTAAAACATCAAATTTTAATTGAGCTACTGTGACTTCTTTTCACAAGACTGATTTGCTACATAATCCAAAATAGCCAAGAGCTACTATTCGCCTGAATCTACATACTCACAACATCAGGCAGAAGACTAAAAATTGAGGACAGCTCTGACAGATTTGCCTGTGTTGGAAACATGCTCGGAATTTAGCATCAAAAAGACAACAACTGGAGGAATAAATAATATGGCTGGTTTGGGTCTCTGCTAAAGGCTGTCCATTAAACAGCCTTAGGTAACAGGAATATCTCCTCCTTTCCTACTGAGCAGTTGCATAGAAAAAGTCCCTGCCATCAAGAGAACAATGAGAGCAGATAGATTTCTACATACACGCAATAACCTCTGCTCAAACTGGTTCCAAGTTCTAACACTCTTTCTAAAAAGATGCTAAAAGAAACCTGAAGTGCCTGCTATCTAGGAACAACCTCTGGACAGAATCTCCAAAAACTAACTCTGACCTTAATAAATATAGAGGATGTCTTTCAAGGAATACAAGAAAAACAAATGACATACCTTTAGTTTCAAGGAATTAATTACAATGCAAGATATTATAGGGATTATTACATTGAATTAATTAATCAATTAATAATTTAACTTAATTAAACACTTACAAATCCAAACAGCAGGTATAAATTAACAGGGTGCTGGTGTCTGTAGAAGGTCAGTGCCACGATTACAGCCAGAGATCCAAGTACAGATATCAAAAGCAAGGCAGGCCTGTAAAATTCCATATTAAAAAAAAAGTAATCAAACTTAAATATCTGTTAGACTGTGGAAGAGTTTATATAAATTCAAATTTGTAAGTGATCATCTAGGAAAAGATATCTAAAGTAAATGTAATGCAAGTTTACAATAAAACTGTTTAAAACACACTACTACATATAATCAGTTAAAAATAGTACAGTCACAAGTAAAGACAACTTTTTCATACTAAAGCTGAAGATTGCCCAGTAATCCATTACCTGAAAATGAGCACATACAAAGAAGAAAATCCATCCATACAAAGAGTATTAAGGTATATGTACTGTTTTGCCTGTTCTGAACTCCATATTCAGAGAACTATTTTTCATAAGCACTTGAATGCAACAAAATGGGCACTAACTGCACCAAAGAAA